GCTTGGACGCCCCAGGCAGGCCCAGTGCTGTTGACGAGCCGACCAAGGAACTGGCGTGGAGAGCTTGCCAACTGGAGGGCGATTCTGGTGAATCTTGTGCTCCCATTTGTGCTCTTTGTTGGAGTGCTGAAACAAAGAGTCGACAGATCTGGTAGGTATCTACGAAGCTTTCGAGATATCAAACCCAGCAATGATCGACCATCGCAAAGGCCCATGTCCTGTTTGATGGACAGCAGCAGCGAATATTGTTGATTAAAATATCGCGCCCACATCTTCTCCTGCCAACTCGTGCCGCCCGCCTAACCCCTGGCAGAGCACCAGTCGAAACCAGAACGGCCCTTGGCGGGGTTTGGAATGGTATCCAACCCAGAAACCGATCCAATCAATCCGTAGCGGGCCCTGGCGCTAGACTAGGACTACACTGCAAGACTTACATTTTGTGTGCAAGCCAAACATTATTGTGGGAAAAAAAAAAAAAAAAAAAAAAAAAAAAAAAAAAAAAAAAAGAGAGAGAGAGAGAGAGAGAGAGAGAGAGAGAGAGAGAGAGATAGAGAGAGAGAGAGAAAAGAAACCACATATTGTCTAGTTAATATTTAACTAATAGTTAACTAATTAACGTAATTCCAAGTAGCTGCCCAAGCCAGTGGCCTCATCAAACTCAAATTTCCTTCCTACTCTCTAGTTCGGCCACTTCAACCCGCAAGAATTGCCACCAGATCACAGTAAAAATGCAAGAAACTCTATAGAGGTAGAGGGACGAATTGAACTTGCAATTTCAACTTGTTAAAAAGAAGAAATAGTCTCTGTTCCATGAAACTGCTTGTGTATTTGATGTTTTACATACCACTCTTTGTCACAAACTTCAAGATAAGTTAGCTAAAGCCTCTCTACATCTGAATTCATCTAAATTAACTCCATGCTGAAGAGGATAGAATTGTTGAATGAGTGTTGAATCTAGCTAAGATATACATAATTGTGATAAGATTAACTTTGCAATGAAATTATATGTTATCACTAAAAACTATTACTAGTGCTTAGTGTTCTGATCTGTTATTGTAATAGGCTAGGCCCTGACCCCTGAGAATTTAAGATTATATTGAATATTGTTAAATACGAAAGGTTTCATTGAGGGGAAAAGGAAAGAGAAGAGAACAGGCAACGGTGCCTTCCATGAACTTTTATAGTAAGCTGCGGGCTTACACACTTACATGGTTAATCACCAATTAAACGTGCCACGCGCACTCACCATTAGTGAGTGTGCCCCACTGTAAAGAAATATCACTGTAACAAAAATCTTCTACAATTATCAATTCTCAAAAATTAATTAATGGTCAACACCATGCTTATCTATAATATAAAGATTATCTATATACTCATTAAAGTGTGTAGAATCTCTGATAGATTGAAATTCATTAATAACATTATATTGTAATTGATTGATATTACATTTAAGAACTTTGATTTCAACTAACTATAGAGCTCTATTTCTCTCTTTTATTGATTTCTCTTTTTCACAATGCTTGATCTTGTGATTGACATTTTTGATAGTCAGAACTTCTTCTATCTGCATCTGTCTGTGATTGTTTTTGATCATTTGATATCTATTTCTCAAATAATAAACAGATAACTTATTCTCTCAGTATATATTCAATTCTATATATATCAGACTTCTTTTGAAAATTTTATTCAATCACTAAATCAGATCATATATTAGAATATTTTTCATTTCTTATATGATTTTATCTACTATCAATGTAGTTTTATGACTATATTTGAGAATGTCAACTGAGAAAATATAATGAAGAATTAAATTTTAGAAAATAAAGTAAAATTGAAGTATTTTTCATTATTATCATTATAAACAAATAGCTATAAGCTATCATTTATATTATATTATCTCAGATATTAAAGAATTACTTCTTATTTGATTGAATAGATTTCACAGTCAATGAATTTAGCTCTAATAATAATAGATTTGAAAATTTAATAATAGACACTCTCTAAATTAGTAAAAATTTATCTCTCATCATATTATTTATATTTATATTAAACAGTCTCATTAACTACTTTAATATAATAATACTTATATTACTGAAAAAATATATCATCAAAATATTATAATAGATAATTTATATAAGATGAAAACTCAAATATAATAATAATATTAAAGCTATAATATTGAAAAAACTCTTCAGTAAGATAAAATTTATAATTATTAAGTAGTAATAATTAATAACTATTAAATCTAATATTTTTTAATAGTAGTATTAAAATATTTTATTTATTTAAATTCAATTTTATTATTAGTAAAGTTAATATCAAATATAATAATAATATAATCATCAGACAGATTAAAATATATATATTAATTTTTTAAATATATCTTTAATTTTATTATAATTAATGACTTCAATATTATATTATTTATATTAATATATTTTATTAACAAGGCTTTATTCTAAATACAGATAAAATAAATATTTGATTATCAATTAAATAAACTATTTATATAAAATATTAAAATAATTTTTAAGAAATGAGTTTGAGAAAAACTCTATTTATATAGCTCTTTTTCTTAACACTATTTGCTAGGTAGTTTTCATATTTATATGTTATTTATATGTGAGGTAATTATGAAACTGGTTGCTATATCAATATTTAAATAGTTATCATTACTGATCACCTTAGTCTGTGATTTTACATTATTAAAAAAGCTGAACAGAGTTTATTTATTTTATTTTATCATCATATTATTTTCTTCTTAAAGTTTAAACATACTTTTAAATCAGTAGATTATCATCTGCTTTATCTGCTAAGTAATTATTCTTTTTTCAAGCCTTCAGTTATTTATTTAATTGCTTTGAAAGTTCTGCTTTTATTGAATTTACAGCATAAAATTTTTGAATTAAATATAATTTTTTTAGATTTAAAATTGAATACTATGTTAAATCAAAATCAAATTTTAATCATTTTATTTAGTATTGAAGCTTTTTATGAGAGATATAACTTGCTAAAATATTCTCAATTTTTTACTCATTTTCACTTTATATTTTAACTAATTCTGATATCTCATTTAGTTATTCTGATAGAGAATTATTTGCAGCTTTTTATACTTTGTCAAAGAAGAATATTGAGTGAATCTTCATGCTGTTTGATAGATTTAATCTATAGCTATTATCAACTTTCTCAATAATATTAAAGAGACTTTTATTTTATTTTATTAGCTTTCTATTAAGATGTTGAATTTTATAATTCTTGAGTGATATAAAGATCTTATCTTCTACATTAAAGTTTGACTTCTAATAATGCTTGTTGACCTGTAATTTCATGATTTCTTGTATTTTTTTTATATTGTTAGCTGTTAGCTTTTAAATTTTCTTTATTTGAATAATATGCTGCTGAGCATCTTCTTATTTAAATTTCTTCTCTCTAGATAGTATTTTTAGCAATAACTTTCAATCAAAAAATATTCAAGATTCATATATATAAGCAGTTAAAAAAAATATTATTTTAATTAATTCATTCTTCAAAGTGTGATGGCGTAGAACAGGCTTACATTCAACCTTCTCAACAGCATAATCACCACAGGCTGAGGCGATCAGTCATCATACAGGCCGAGGTGATCGGTCATCATACAGGCCGAGGCGATTGGTCATCATACGGGCCAAGGTAATCAGTAAACAACAATTGTCTAGATAATAGCAAACAACCCCACAATTACCCTGTATATGAATAACATATAAACATGGCAATCACATGGCAACAGTGCTAGAGAAAAAGGGTTATATAAACAGAGCTTTTCTCAAACCTATCTTTTAAAAATCATTTTAATATTCACTCAGATAGCTTATCTAGCTGACAATCAAATACTAGTTCATTTGCACCTAGCTGAAGCTGTAATATAATACTAAGATAATCTACTTTTCTTGTTTTTTTTAAAGCAGGTTTTTAGGTAAAAAATTTTTGAAGAATTTTTATCTACTTTTGTTGTAAAATCTCTGAGAAAACTACTAAGATGTCAGAAGCAATTAGAAAATCTGACAGCCTATGAAGATTAGACTAAGGTATAATGACTCTGACTGAGAAGAATATAAGGTCAAAGAATCTCATATTCAAGGAACAATTTCTTGAGACAATTGAAGAAGACTCAGAGTGAGTATATCAAGAAATTGCTGGCCTTATAAATGAGGCAAGAAGTATTTTAGAAAGGGTTAGAGTAGAATAAGATGAGTAGAGAAAGCAAGTGAGTGAACTTGATCAGCAAGTAAATAGTCTGATAGAGAAATGAAATGCTTTACAGCAGACAGTGAACTTTTTAACCTCTCAAATCAGACTGATGAATAATCAATAAATATGACAATCAGTCAAACTTGATGACTCTAAGCATCTCAACAATGGAAAAAAACTGATATTTGAAAACTGACTCTTTTGAATGAAATGCAAGCTAGATATCAACACTGACCACTTTCT